TTTTCAATTTTATTCTTATTCAACTTTTTAATTTGTAAGATTTGTTTCTCATTATTTTAATAAACTTGAGAAAAATGAAGCTCATTTTTCATGACATAACCAAACCCTAAAAAATATTTTTTAATTTATTTTTTATTATATTATTAAATATTAAAAAAATGTTACTTTTTTAAAATTTAATTTTTTAAAATAAATTATTTTTTAACAAACAAACGGCGTGTAAAAAAGCTCTGATAACCATTTCACATCTTATTACAAGATCTTAATACACAGCCATAGCACAACGCCTTTATAGCACGGCATCGTCACTGCAGCTCCCGCGTAAAGTAAAGAACCCCAAAATCCTCTGTCCCACTCGCTCACTCAAACTCTTAATAACTCCACACTTCCCTCAGAAAATCTTCCTCACAAAGCTACTCCCTTTCTCTCCACTTCTCCACCACCAACTCCTCCAACATGACATCCAAAGGCTGCACGACATCCAAAGACTGCACGACATCCAAAGACTGCGGCCACCACCACCACCATAAACGCTTCCGCCCGTTATACGCTGGAATCCTAACCTTCCTCCTCATTGTCCTCACCGGAAGCCTCTCAGTTTGGGCCATCCTCCGTCCTTCAAAACCAAAATTCATCCTCCAAGATGCTACAGTTTACGCCTTTAACGTTTCATATCCAAATTACATCACTTCCAACTTCCAAGTCACCGTATCCTCTCGCAACCCGGATGATAGAGTCGGAATCTACTATGATAGACTCGATATTTATGCCACATACCGTGACCAACAAATAACTCTACAAACTTCCACACCTACTTCTTACCAAGGACACAAAGAGATTACTGTTTGGTCCCCTTTTATTTGCGGTAACTCCGTGCCGGTATCTCCGTACAATTCAGCTGCATTAAGTCAAGACCAAGGTGCAGGACTTGTGATGCTGATGATCAAGATTGATGGTCGTGTTCGATTCAAAGTCGGAACCTTTATTTCTGCGAAATACAATTTGCATGTTAGGTGTCCTGCTTATATTCAGTTTGGTAGCAGAACTAATGGAATTATGGTTGGTGACAACGTCGTTAAGTATCAGCTGGCAACGAGTTGCCATGTAAGCCTCTGAAGATGAGGGAGATTACCCATATAAATATATATATATATATATATATATATAGAGTATCAGCTCGTAAGGAGTTGCCATATATATATATATATAGAAGAAAATGGTCACATGTAATACCGCCTTTAAGTAATTATTTCTTCTTTTTTTTGAGTCTTCAATGTTTTAGTTTAATTTGATGTGTTACTTCTCATGCAATTGATGATGGGCTCTATGCTTTTGATTTCTTTAAGGCAGTCAATGAAACGTGGAATCAAAATTTGTGTATTTTTGATAGAGAGGTAACAATTGAGTGTCTACAGCTAGTGGAGGTTGCCGAGTCACTGTCGATCGTTTTTTCTCAACTCAAATTTCTTTATTGCTGCTTGCTTTGTTGTCTACTCTTTTTTCCTAGTCTAATTCTAGGATCTTTATAATTACGGTCACCCATAAGTGATTCTTCTATATATCATCTTTTTTCTAATTCCTATACTTAATTTGCTTTAGAGAGATACCTTTGATCTGGACTTCGAGATGCAAATGATTCTTCTTTTGCTTCACTCTTACACGGAAGAGGAGCCAGTGTTGTGACGAACTGTTGCATTAATTGGATAAAGTGGATGTACTTTTGACTCCGAGCTCGTACTCTACATGTAGCTTAGTTGATTTGGCATGAGACTGAGTCAAGTGGAGATCATGGGTAGACTGTTTGTCGTGGGCATTGTTTTACATCAACCTTGTTGATTGTGGCAGGAAAAAACCACCCTAATCATTTACTCTTTACATGTTAACAAGCAACTCTTATGCTTTCTCTTTTTTTTTTTTTTTTAAATATAGATAATTAGGTATATTGTCTGGCGTCTAGTAAAATTTATCACATGAGGGCATTGAAAAAATTGCAAACTTCGATCAGGTAGAATCATAGTTGGGAGAAAAAAACAAAAAAAGCCTTCAGAATAGTAGAATAGCCATAAGCTAGCTTAACCAACCAAATCGGCCGAGTAGATAATGGGTGGTATTAATGTTATGACATATGTTTAGTTTCTTCGTGTACGTTTGGTCTGTTGGAAGACTCCATCTATTCAACGAAAGGTGTTTTTTTTTCTTTGAAAAAATTGCTCACCAATTAACTTGATTTTTTTAAAACTCGTCATGACAACAGTAATTACAGCTTGATAAACCTCTGAGTGTTTTACTATAGGGTTATTTAGAAATACGGTTTAACTTGTATTCTTAAAAATTTAAAATTTAAAATTTTTAATTTTTATTAAAATTTAATATGATTTGTATATTTTGAATTATTTTGATATATTAATATTAAAAATAATTTTTAAAAAATAAAAAAAATATTATTAATATACATTTCAGCCCAAAAAGTTATTTAAAAAGTAATAATTACCAAATTTCGACAAACACAAGTATTCTACACTTAGTTTTGCTTGTATTTATATAAACACTTATCTAATTTTTGAGTTTTTTTTATTTATTAATATGCAATTTTAATGATAATTTAATTAATCTAGTCTAATTTGGTACAACGTTGACTACAGAAGGTGACCATAAAATTGCATTAATAAACGAGCAGGACATGTGACAAGCCATGGTTGTCTCCAAAAAGACACGTGGATCGGAAACAGGTGCAAGAGGAGAAAAAGAACGGAAAATGACAAATTAAAATTGTTTGACGACGAACCTAATCTAACCTAATTATAAATAAATAATTTTTTAAAGCGCGTACGTGCATGCATTTTTCTTGATTCCGATGACGCCGTGTAAGACATGAGGGTTTTTAAATTGATGATATCACAGTTAGATAAATTAACTAATTAATTTAGTGATTATATATCGACTTACCTATATTACTTTATTTCAACTCCAAATCTATTGTTATTTTAGATTTTACAAGCTAATGAACATTAATGCTATATATTATTTAATAAGTCAGAATCAAAATCACAGAAGCAAAGTTATAATTTATCCTTCAAACATCATTTAATTTTATAAAACATAGAGTTTTGTTTAAATTCAATCTTATCTTTATACATAAGTTTTCTAAAAAGCCATGTCAATCAGGTGGCCATCCCAACAAAATAACATTTTTAATCAAACTAGACCCTTTTAATCATATATCATAGTAGTCATCGGCTTTTCTAATAAGTTATATATAGGTAATTTATCACAAATCAAGTAACTTATTACATAAATTTATTCAACAAAACTAAGTTAAGGACATGAAAGAATACAAGTTTATAATAATATAACATTAATTAATTTAAAATTTTCTAGTTGCATTTGGTTTTCACTCTTTTAACAAGAGCCTCTTAGCTCTTGTCTTATAATTTTTTTAATTGATTTCATATTTTAATTATTTTTTTTATTTTAAAAACTTATAATTTAAAGTAAAAATTATTTAATTATCTAAACTTAAATTTTTCCCCCTAAGCATAAGTATGTATATCATACTTGTCCATTAAGAATGCTAATGAAACCAACTTCATTTAAATAATAGTTTTTTAAATGACCACTAGAGATCATCGAACATGAAACTTAAATATTAGTAAGCTTAGAAGTCATTTCATCAATGTTGTTTTTCATGTAAAGTAAAATATAAAATAACTTATTGTAAATATATAACTTCTATATTAAGACAAAATATTAATTACAAAGAGAGGTTGTCTTTGTATCTTACAATAATTTTGCCTTCGGTTTTATTGAAGAAAAAATGCCTGTTTTTTTGACCTCAATGATTGAGTCTTGGTTGATAATATTTATATTAGATGGTGCATCTTTATAATCATCATCTTGATAAAGATGTATCTCTTTTATTAGACTTAAACTTGATAAAGATGTATCTCTTTTATTAGACTTAAACTTGATAAAGATGTATCTCTTTTATTAGACTTAAACTTGATAAAGATGTATCTCTTTTATTAGACTTAAACTTGTTTCTTCTTGGATGCATGAAACCTAAAAAGAAATAATGATATAATGACAATGCACTCATATGAAATTTAAGTTCAAACAAAACCATTCAAGTTAAATTTTCTAATAAACATGTCAAGAAAATTAAAACACCCATAAGAAGAGATAAAAAGAGAGATAAAGAGAAAAAACCTAGAACGAAAACCAAATTGCTCAAATATGATCCCAGAACCATTTAAAAATCATATGTTATTTCATAAAAAAAACAATTACTTTATTTCTTTTAAAAAATAACACATCTAAATTAATGCAAGTTGTTGCCCGAAACCCAGGCGACTAGGCAAACCCGACTGACACTCAACCTTTTTTTCTTTACACACACACATAGTCGAAAACAACGTATTTCGTTTTGGACTTTTAAAATACTGAAAGTTTTGACTCAAAACGATGTAGATAAAGGATGAAGGATGCAAAATTACAGACAGAGATAACAAGAAAAAACAATTTCAATCACATAGCTGTTGTGCCTGTAAAAAACCTCCAACCTAAACATAACATCCCCTTTATAATGATCGCTACTCGTTCTTGTAGATTCCATTAAAGATAACATCCCCGGTTTTGATTAGATCCTGCATCAAGACATGATTGTAAAACCCTATTCAAAGTTCCGTATGTGAATATTAGTGTTGTTGTTGATGCACGATTGCTATTGTTTTCTATTTTAATGCCCATATGTTTCTCTCTCTCTTTCTCTTGAAGATTTTATTTTCCTTTTTACCTTCTATTCTCAATTTAAAAAGAATGTCTATTTGTTGTTAATTAAAAGAGAATGTCTATTTGTGGTTGGAAAGCTGGAAAACAAATTGACGATAGAGGAGAATTGTATTTATTGAAGTTTTTTTTGGGTTGATTTATTCAAGTTTTAATTTTATTTTTTTTGGGTTGACCCGGGTTAACCTGGGTCAACCCATCTAACCCATGACTCGATCATTAAACCAAGTCGACCACTAGGTCGGATTTTAAAACTATTCCAAAAGGAATATGTTAACAAATTTTGTTTTCTTTCTATAACCACTTTATCTGCATAAATTCTTTCCAATTGAATAAGCCACCATAAATGAATAAAACTTAAAATGAGATAGCAAAAAAACAAATAGTGATGAAGATTAATATGCTATCAAAGGTTATACCAACAATGGCATGCATATTTAGCCATTATAAGCATGTTTTATTGCTTACTTGCCATGAAGGAAAAAATAAATGAATAAGAACCATATAAACAAGAAATAACAAAAATGATATTATAGACCTAAAAATATATTAAATGGTTGATAATTAAGAATCAAGGCATGGTTCTAGCATATAGTTAACAACATATTATATAAATAAAAGTTAAATCATGATTACTAAGACAAATTAACAACTATTACTATTCTTTAATTAATATTAAAGTCACCGGAGAAATGAAAGCACAAACTTTCTCTCTTTCTCTCTTTCTCTCAATATTTATCCATTTACTTTTAAATAGAATTATAGAATCATGTGTCCAAATAGAACATCAATTAAGTCAATGGAATATAATTGAAGTGAATTATTTACCAAAAAAAGCAATAACATGTAGATGATGTGAAAAAAATAAAAATTAATACAAAAAAAAGTACAAGTAAAACAAAATAAACTCATAATATTACAACTACCTAATTGAAGTAACAAACAACAAATTATTTAAGGTACAGATGCTAAGCTGCGAAAAAAGAAGAAGATTATATCCATATATCTTCAATGGCCACTAATTTAACAAAACCTATAAAACCCAAATAGTAAATAAATCAGCCCTAAATGGAGTAAAAACCCTAACCCTAGTTTAAGATTTAATAATGTTAAACTCTAAATTTATTAAACAAGAAAGAACAAGAATTCAAACCTAAAATGGGTGCTCTCAACACTAGATTTATGAGTGGGGGAGAATGGTTGTCAAATTTAATTGTGAGGATGGATACTATCATAGTCAAGTAAGAAGAAGAAGAAGAAGAAGAAGAAGAAGAAGAAGAGAGTGAGAGAAAGGGAATTGTCAGGTTTTGATTCATTTTAAAATCATGGATACAATTTTCATCAACAATTCTGTCAACAATTTGAAACGCCAATCATTCCAATAGAATTGTCAAAGGAATATTTTATTATATTTTATTATTTTTATTTTGTTTCCATTTCCATATAAAATTATTGAAAAAACATTTTCGCCATAATTTTCATTGGTATACAGTGAACATAATATTTTTCATTGTGTTATTATTGTT